GATCACCTAAACTCCTAAAATAACTTTGTTAGAAGACAAGTTTTGCGAACTTTTATCAACTTCCAATAAAAGGATTTTATGAAAAATATGCATAGAATATTTATTTCTTGGTATGCAGGTGGGATATACATGCCAGGTTGGCTTCTCTGGTATTGGATTGTGGAATTCACAGGCTACATTGGACTAGTAGCTTGGCTACTTGATTTATGGCTCAAACTGTAAGGATCATGAGAAGGACCAAATTATTCAGGGTAAATATTAATTTGAGTGGGAAAGTCTGATTATGAGAGAAAATAAGGAAAGAAAATCTTTCAAATTCTGAGGGAACAGAGTAGGATAGTTTAGAATCCTCAAGGAAATTACAATAATCATGCCATAATTTCCCACCGTTAAGAGTTCAAGATTACTAGATGAAACCCAATACAAACTACAAAGTGCTTAGGTGGTAATTTTATTTGATTATATTAACCAACTGAAAGAAAGAAGCTTTAAAATATCAAAATCTACTCAAAAGTCGTCATTCTCTTTAAGCCTTTGGTTTCTAAAATACAATAAGGGTGCGTTTAGTTCAGGGAATGTTGGATTATTGGAATCTTATATTATCTTGAAGATTACTGGGAATCTTTAAGAAAATGTGTTTGGTTAGTTGATGGGTATGTTATATTAATATGTTTGGTTAAGGGGAATAAATTGGTGGGTATGCTATTTAAATTACTAAATTGCCCTCTTTTTAAATATTAATATAATATTATTTTTATTATTAATTTTTGAATAATTTCTTTTAACCCCCAATATTCAAGATTTAGCTAAAACACCCCGCTTATATAAAACTTTAATTTATGACAAAATCACCCCCACCCCCTACTGCCACCTGCCGCCACTCCAAACCATCGCCGGAAGTCTCCGAAAGTCACTGTAAGTAGCTTACTATGACCACGAGGCACCGATATGGCCATATTGATGGCTGAAAACGTGCCATATCAGGCCAAATCTAGCCACTAATGGCTAGGGATTTAGCTAAAAATGGCCAAAATAGCCATTTCCAAACAGATCTGGCCATATCAAAGCCTCTTGGAGCCTCCCAGGGAATCTCGGTCATTTTTAGGGACTCTGGCGACTTTCCAGCGGTGGTTTGTAGTAGTTGGCCCGCTGTCGATGGTGGTGGCTGGGTGGCAGTGGTGGTCTATAAATTGTTTTAAATATAAGGGTATTATTGTCCAAAAAATTAATTAAACAATGGTAAAATTGAAATGGTATATTAAGGTAAATTTATTTTAAAACAGGGGCATTATTGTCCCAAATTTTTATTAATAAGGGATAGAATTATAACAAAAATAAGATTACCAAGGTAATCTTATAATACCTAAGAAAATTGAGGTAATCAGATTACCTCCAATATTACCAACAGTAACAACTATTGGTAATGCAAGATTACCGGAATTTTATATTACATGACAACCAAACATAGTAATCAAGTAATATAAGATAACATAACCCTAGTAATCTTCCATTACCTCAAACCAAACGCCCCTAAGAGTGAGAAAGGAATAAGGTGTGGAGTAAAATGTTCACATATTTATAAGAGAACTTTGTATGTGTGATATTAATTTATTTTGACTTTATTATTTTATTTTGAACTTAATTATAATATATTAAATATTATTATTTTAAGATAAGGAGGAACACTAGGGAAAGCAAATCTTTAATGATTGTGCATATCTGCATTAATTTCAACTAGTTGAAAAGCCCACGCGTTGCGCTGGTTGCTTATGAAATTGGTTTTGACACCATGTTTGTTTGAATAATTAGATGTTTCAATTGGTTGATATCTACTATGGTGGTACATACATTGTATAGGTCTATCAAATTAAAGACATGTCTGTCTAGTTTCCAAATATTCAAACATCTCATCAATTGAATATTTATTGAGCAAAGTATGACCCATTTATTACTGACTATTAAGTGAAAACTAAGAAACAGGGAAAACCAAAATCTATGTGATGATAAAATGAATGGTTCCGTAGCGGGTCTACAGTTATCCAAATTCATCGTATAATATATCAAACTAAAGTCTGTCTGTCTAGTTTCCAAAGATTGAAACCTCTCATCAATTGGATTTGTATTAAGTAAGTTATGATTAATTTACTACTGGCTGTTTAGTGGAAATCGAAATGTGTGTGATGATAAAATGAATGGTTCGACAGCGAGTCTCCAGTTATCCAAATTCAACGTATATATATCAAATTAAAGCGCTCATGTCTAGGTTCCAAATATTCAAACTGCTCATCAATTGGATTTTTATTGAGCAAGTTATAACCAATTTATTACTAACTATTCAATGAAAACCGAGAAACAGGGGAAACCGAAATGTGTGTGATGATAAAAATTAAACATTGTTCAACATATTTTTTGAATACGCGATAGTAATTTAAATGGTGTATTTTTTAAAGATAATAACAATGGTTCCAAACAATACAAATTGATCGACATATTACAATGGTTCGGGAATTTTTTGTATAGGCAATAGTAATTTAAATAGGCATATTATTTCAATTAAACATTGTTAGGCATATTTTTTGCATTGACAGTAGTAATTTAAATGGTGGATTTTTTAAAGATAATAACAATTATTCCATCTTTCTTTTAAAGATAATAATAATGGTTCGACATATTACAAATGGTTTATTAAAGCTACATGGTTCGATATTAAACATCAGTTGATATTTGTGAAACAAATAAAATTGGTTATATTATCTCTTTTCATGATATATGTATGTAACATAAAAAATATCAATAAAAAAAGATAGAACATACAATTAAAACTACATATCAATATTTGTTTTTTTTTTCTCATCGCTAAAATTAAATTCGTTTTTATAGCACAAATCCTCGCCTATTTATCCTGAAATGGTTGAATGATACTAATCGTCGCAGGTCATCATCACTTGATTTTCCTGAAACAGATGAAAATGAAGATGGAAAAGATGGAGACAATAATTAAAGGACAATTCCATTGAAAATGAAAAATTCTAAATTAAACAAAGAATTACAATTAAATATCATGCAACAACATTACAAAACTATCAACAAAAAAAGAAAGCACAACTACAATTAAATATCTAACATCACTTGATGTTGGTGAAACAAATAAAACTGATTCTCCTTCACCAGAACCACTAACTCACAAACTATTACCAAATAAATATTAACAAATGGAATATTTGTTTTCCTTTCCCATCTTTGCATTATGGTACCAATCATCGCATAAATAAATATATATAGATTTAAAAGTGAATGTAAAAAGTTTGCATTTAATTGATAAAGATTTAATTACACCTTTCATATGCCCAACTTTCTAATATGGATATGTGTGTTATTAATATCAATCACAAATAAAGATTTAAAATATTTGCATTTAATTGAGAAAGATTTCGTTAGACCTTTCAGATAGATGTATCTATATATCTGCTTATTTAAATAAACAAAATTTTAAGTAAACTTTTGAGATGTCCAATAAAGTATAATCCTTATTTAATATCATATTATTATTAATATGTGTCATTATTACAAAAAATATCAAACACCAATTAAATTAAGACACATATAACAGTAAATCATATTCATCCATATATCACACATTATCACCAATAACATATAACCAAATGTAAAAATAACACATCATCATCAATCACATGCAACCACATGTTGTACAATCATCCAACATGTCAAAATGAAACAATTCTAAAGCTTTAAAAATCCTATGTGGCAATCAAATAACCTATGCCTTAAAATTATATAAATATAGAGATTATGAAAAAATTATGAATTTTTAATAATAAAAATAAACAATAACTAAGAATGAAAATATGTTATTATTTTTATTATTAAAAATTTATATTTTTTTCATGATTAATATATTAATAGCATTTTTTTTCATTGAAAAATATGCTACATTTGAGGGTAAAAATGGTATTTGGTCAAAATATGTTGTGCTATTGTTAATTCCTTTTAATCTGTGTCAAGAATTTCACATTTGTGTGTGTTTTATTTTTGTAAAATCAAAGGAGTTATTTGTTATTCCCTCCAAGTTTTAGATATATGATTTTAACCCGCGTTTATTCTGGAAGGGGTATTTCCCGATTAGAACTGAAACCGGTGGGTACTTGGGGTTTGATTCTGGTTCCTACTCAGAACTGGCCATTAACGAGTAGGTTCCAGTTCCAAATTTTTGGAACCGTTACTGTGCGGTTTTGGTTTCGATTCCTATAGTTAGGAACCGAAACCGGAACTGGGAACCGATATTAATATAAAATAAAATTAAAGAGTAGGGAGATTAATAAGAACTTTTGTAGAAAAAATAATGTGAATACATTTATATTTATATTTCATAACATTTAACGTAAGTTAGTTTGATTTTTGAGAATCTTTGTTTACAAAGTAATGAAGTTTGTAATTTTGAATTTTGAATTTATAATTTGTAATTTTATTTTTGTTAACAAGTGCCAGGTTGGGGGGTATTTGTAAGTTTTTGAGGGTTTTTTTTACTATTTTAAAAGCTTTTGGGGGAAAATGAATTTTATAGGGTACCTAAAACTGGAACAGGAACCGTTGTTATAGGTTCCGGTTCTGATTCTAAATTTCAAGGAACTATCGGTTTCGATATCGGTTCCTTCAAAAAATGCAAGATATCCAGAACTAAGCACTCCTAGTTTATGTATTAGTGCTTTTGTTATAAATTGGAGTTAGTAATATTGATAGTTCAAAGTTTGATTAAATAACAATTTTCTTTTTTATTAAGTTACAAAACATAATATAAGAGTAATTTACAAATTTAGATAATTTAGTTAATAAATGTTTACTCGTAGTTTAAGTTGTAAGTATTTACTAACTATACAAAATGATAGGGGAACTTTTATAATTTCAAAAAATACAGAGAGACTTTGTTAATAAATCAAACCTCAGGGTCTATGTCTTTTTTAACTCTATAAACCCATCCTGCCGATGAAAAGGCATTTGTCTGCGAACGAAACCCAAACCCAAACCCTAACCCTAAACCTAACCTTCGCCTCCGGAATCAATCTCTCCCTCTTCTATCGATTAAATTATCAAGCAATCAATGGCGAGGAAGCGAAAGCACGACTCCAAAACCACTGAACCAACTGAACCCCCACAAAAACAACTTCAACAAGAGCCATCAAAACAAGAACAACAAACTGCTGCTGAAGAGCCTGAACCAGAAAAGAATGAAGACGTCGAATACGAAGAAGTTGAAGAGGTAGAAAAGGAAGAGGAAGAGGAAGAGGAAGAGGAAGAGGAAGAAGAAGGAGAAGGAGAAGAGGAGGAGGAAGAAGAAGAAAATGATGACGAAAATCAGGAGACAGCAAACACCTCAGGAGCAGATCAAGACGACGACGAGGACGAGGAGGAGCCGATAGAGAAGCTTCTAGAACCGTTTAGCAAGGACCAGCTTGTAAATCTGCTACGTGAAGCAGCTGAAAAGAATAGTGACGTGGCAAATCGGATTCGCGAAGTAGCTGATGAAGATCCAGCTCACCGGAAGATATTTGTGCACGGTCTTGGTTGGGACACTAAGGCCGAGACTTTAATTGATGCGTTTAAACAGTACGGTGAGATTGAGGATTGCAAAGCTGTTGTTGATAAGGTCTCTGGGAAATCCAAGGGTTATGGTTTCATTCTGTTTAAGACGCGAAGTGGGGCACGTAAGGCACTTAAGGAGCCACAAAAGAAGATTGGAAGTCGGATGACGTCTTGCCAGCTGGCCTCTGTTGGCCCTGTGGCAACTCCTTCTGCTACCAATATAACGCAGCATCATCATCAACAGCAGCAGCCGCAAACAGTATCGGAGTACACTCAAAGGAAGATTTTTGTTAGCAATGTTTCCGCGGAATTGGATCCACAGAAGTTGCTCGAGTTTTTCTCTAAGTTTGGGGAGATTGAGGAAGGACCGCTGGGCCTGGATAAGGTCACCGGAAAGCCTAAAGGGTTCTGTTTGTTTGTTTATAGGACGGTTGAAGCTGCCAAGAAGGCTTTGGAAGAGCCGCACAAGAATTATGAAGGCCATGTTTTGCATTGCCAGAAGGCTGTTGATGGACCGAAACCAGGAAAATCACAGCACCGCCATCACCAGAATGCACAGAATTCACATTTTCAGAGGAATGACAATGCGGGATATGTTGGTGCAGCAGCACGACCTGGCCACTTGATGGCACCGTCTGGACCTGGAGTTGGTGCTGCAGCTGCACAGGCATTGAACCCAGCTATTGGGCAGGCATTGACAGCTATACTGGCTACTCAAGGTGCTGGATTGGGGATCAACCCGGCACTCGGGCAAGCTTTACTGGGACTGGGCTCTGCTGCTGGTGCGGGTGCTGGAATGCAGGGTGGCTATCCAAATCAGGCAGTGAGTCCCGGTGTCATGACAGGGTATGGGAACCAGGGTGGCTATCCAAATCAGCAGATGGCACAAGGTGGGTCTGGAAGAGGGCAGCATGGTGTCAACCAGTATGGTGGCGCCCCATACATGGGTCACTAGGTGTTCCTCAGGTATTAAGTCATGCTAAATTTCTGGTTTTGTGGATTAAATTTTAGACTAACTGCATTTGATAGTGGAAGTCTACAGTATCATGGATGTGGGAGTAGTATGTTTAACATCATGGTTCATAACAGTAAATAATCGGAAATTCTAATAGGAACTTTGGTTGAGTTGTCTACCATATGTGCTAGATATGGTTGAAGTGCTTGTTGCTATTGTTGATTTGTGAAGAATTTGAATTAGGTGTTTTCTTTAGGGACTGTCCCATTTTTTTTTCCATAAGTTATATCTTTTTGGCAGTCTTGGGTAGTTGGCCATCTTTTTGGGTTTCTGTTCTTACATTGAATGTTTGTTTATGATATTCCTGGCTTCCTTTACTGGCAAGGTATACGCTGTATTTTAACTGCATGTTTAGCTCTTAGTGTGAATTATTTTATGCTCCAGGCAATTTTGTCAAGTGTTATTTATGTTTACTGTTACTGGTTTCAACTGTTTTATCTCATCTAATAACTTTTGATAAAAATGGATATTATAATTGTTTGATGATGATTAATGTCAAAAATTTCCTTATATCTTTTGTTGAAGTTGGCTTCTTCACTTTTTTTTGTTGTGCTTAGCCCTTTCGTAAAGGATACTGGCTTTCGACCCTTTTTCCTTTAAAATTGTCTTTTTATGTTTCTTATTACTGTGCAGATCCCACATAGGTGCATCAGTATTTTATTACTGGCCTGGTGATTCTTCTGAAGTTTAAGGAGCTGATGCAAATGAAGTCTAATATTTGTGATGAATGTTACTATTTGGCTACTACAAAGACCAGAATCTTAAAACTGTCAAATGGAGTCTTATGTCTTCTGTATTGTTTTTGTCCTTTTTTTTTCTCCTGCTCCCTCTCTTCCTTTTTTTTAATGTTTTTCTGTTGTAGTTTTTGACATCTTTATTTAGTTAAACGCTTTGCGAACAATTAAAGTACTTTCAATAACATAGCTATGTACTTTATTAAGTTTGCGAGGTTGAACAAAAGATTCCTTTCTAAATTTCAGTTGATGTGGATTAAATAGTGCTTGCAATTGGTCTTTAAGATTTTTTTTTGACATACAATTTTGTTAAGCTGGTTTATTAAAACTAGATCTTTTCTTTTTTGGTTAGTTTTGAATAATTGGCCATGGAATGGTTGATGACGTCATTTCCCTTTTTAGTTTATCTTTGTTTTTTTTTTTTTTTTCAAATGTGTTATGTGGCATTCTGCTGGTTAATTTATGTATGAGGTCTTGTGGTACTGGTGAAATGATAACATTGTGCATGGTTTATTTGTGCTCGGATTGCTTACCGCCATTTTTACTGCAGGTAATCTTCTATGCAGGCTGATTGGTCCTATTATTACAATCTTACCTGCATTTTTCCAATGTGCTTAAAATATTAGAGGAAAAATATATTCTTAAAGCATGCCAATTTTAATTATTTTTTGGAAAATCTTCTAGTCATATCCTTTGACTAGTAAGAACCTTTAAAGTAATGTCTGTGATATGGAATTTGATGTTTTAAGCGGTCTTGTATTTTCTACTATGGAATTAAAATTGGATTGACAAAATGTTTACCTGGGACTAAGCTGCTAAAAAACAAAAGTTTCCATTCTCTTAATTGTTTCTGTCATATAAATTAGGAGTTTAAATGTTTTATTGTAATCAAAAGTTTCTAAAGACATGGTTTTTTGAGTCTTTTGGCTATTTAGTAAAAACCTTCCATTTCAGTTCTTGAGGTGCAATAATATGTTTTAGTTTTTCATAAATGCATTCTCATACTTCTAACTACCAAAGGGGATTGCCTGAGATGGACATTTTCGCCACTGTGGATACAGAGAACTATGTTCCATGGAGTGGAAGGTATGAAATTTAACTTACATCTAAAAAAGAGTTGCAAGTTGGTACTATTAAAAGCTTTGAAGGTTCAAGTGTGGAACTTGGAGTTTTGAGTGCTTTTCTCTTTTTATTCCCTTAGTGGGTCCTAACATTTTTCTTTTATAGGAGATAAGACTAAAATACAAAGGATGCCTTAACATCACTTGTTTCTTGGTGGTGATAGTTTGAGTTTGGATAACCATAAGCTATCTAATTGGGTTATGGATTCGCTGGTTGATATTTTCTTGAAGTTTAGACCAGGGATATCAGTTGGAAGGATATATTCGGATAAATTATGTATAAAGGCAAGCTTATTTATAGTCCTTGCATATTTTCTTAATTTGTGGTCAGACTGTCTTTGCCTTAACATCTGAGCTTAAATCTTCAATCTTCAACATTTTTTTTGTGTTAATCCAAAGGTATAGAGAGTTGATAAGTTTATAATATTAAGGGCTTTTTGACTTTTAACTTATTCTCTAATCCACTCTTGCACTTACCATATGACATCTAATCATGTGGGTGGAAACCAAAACCAAACTTCCGCTTTTAATTGTATAGAAATTTCTGAAATGATGTGCTGCATATAGAGAATGAATACTAGGATATGGGTTTCTATTTATTTGCTTATATATGAATTTTCTTTCTCTGAAGCCTATTTTGCTGTAGAAGAAACTCTCAATACCCAAAAATTAAGTATTTGGCAAAAATAGGTCTGTAGTCAGTTTTACAGGTCATTAAACTCTAGCTAATGCACTTAAACAGCGCAGGAGAAGTAAGTTTTTCAGCTTGACCTTTCTGATTGTAGATAGATGCACCAAAGAACAAAAACAAGACAAAAACAAAAGTTACACTTCAAATATGGAGCTTTAGCATAATCTTCTTCTTATAAGTATTAGCATGAATATAAGTGCATACCTTTTTAATTATATAATGGCATAATGGTCTTTTAATCTTTCTTTTGGATGTAGATTTCAGCTCATTTTTGTGTATAAGCATTGCTGTTTCTTTTTTTCTCATGGTTAGATTACTGTTAATAATTCAATGCTGGTGTTTGATTACATTAAAGTTTCCCATTTATATAGGACATTAAATTTTAGGCCCAGTTTTTCTGTTATATTCTTCCAAATATATCCTTCCTGCTGTTTGAATTGTCTTCATGCATTGCTATCATCATATTCATAATCCTCTGCATACCATCTGGTTTTGTTAATTAGGATTGAGCTTGTTTGGGTAAGCTATCTTGTAGTTTTCAAGTCTTAATTTGCATGAATATATAACTTTAGCTGTGTGATTTTGTCCGTGTTTTTCTTATATTGATTAAAAATTTAATCATTAATTGGCGTCTCTAATAGTCAATTTTAGGTGTCTCTTTTGTTAGAAGTTCATAAATATTACATTTTGAATTTTGTATTCTCTCTCAAATCAAAACTGATAAATTTTCCTAGTAAAGGTGCTCTGCATTTAAAGGCAACCTATTGAAGGATTGAATGAAATTTAGCAATGACGAAGGTCAAAGTTAACCGATCTTTTCAACCTTGTGCATGATTTAATTTAAGTTATTCAGTTGTAAGGTCTAGGTCGGAGTCAACTTCTGAACCTCTTTTCAAGTACAAAATTTCATCTTACTGAGCCAATTTTAAGTAGGCAGATGGCATTTAAATTTATATTATTCATTGTCATTGAAATTGTTTGCCAGTTGAGGAAGAATAGGAGTCAGTGATTTGAGAATGGTTACACTTCGAGTAGCAGTGACCCTTTGAATTTTGATGGTAAAATATACTTGCTAGATTTTTATAGGAGTGAATTGGTGTTTGGCACTTCTCATTTTGTCCATGGAATCTTTAAAAAGTGTGGAAAAGTGGATGTGATCTCAATGGTTAGTAATATGCAGTTGAAAATATTGTTAGGGGTTAGATTTTTATTTCCTTTTTTTCCCTTGTAAGATTGTTTATGTTAAACGCATTTTCTTCGTGCACAAAGATTAAATACACCTCTATCACAGGATTTTTGATCATTTTTATAAGTGATCGTTTGATATTTTTAAGGCGATTTTGGATACTTTTTTATTGAAGCCGATTAGTTTAATTCTAAGCGATTTTGGGAAGAGAGTAAAATAAAACCGTTTTAAAATCTGAAAATATCTGTTATATTTTTCAGAATGTTTTGTGTAATGAAACTAGTGAAAGTGTATTTGTTGTCGTTTTCCTTCTTATAGTAGATACGAAATGTTATATAAATCATGGAAAATATTTTCTTTCAATTTGTCTACCATTTTTGTGTTTTTCAATCTTTTAGTTGTATTTTTTGTCTTTTTATTATATATATATATATATAATTTTGTGATTTTCTTGTTTTTAGTTTTATACATTTATTTTTTAGTTACATATTTGACTTTTTAACTGTCTGTTTTTTTTTTATATTTTATAATAAAACATGTAAGTACAAGTGAATAGTGAATAAATATTATTCATTTTTAAGACAGTGGACAATATAAATAGAAAAATGAAAATAGAAATTATGGTAATTAAAAGACAAATGCTAATATAAATTAATATGTTATAACATAATTAGAAGACTTAAAATTAAAAATAAATAAAATAGTAGTTAGGTAGGATTCTTACGTCAACTTAAATAGGTAGTACTTTCAATTACTGCTCAAATGATTGAATTGCTAGGATTATGAAGACAAGTAACTAAAGGTAAGGGTCTTGATGAATTTTAAATAATAAAGTATGTTAAGGGATTGTAACAAAGAAAATATGGGATGGGTATTGATTAAATTTTATTATGAAATCATCCTGAAAGTGATTTACTCTAATTTACCCGTAATCAGTAACTTAATTAATCATCTCGAAAGGTAAGGGTGAGTATGGGTAACGGGTAAAACTGGAACTTACAGGTAGAATCAGAACCAGAACTTGCAGGTAGAATTGATATTGTGGGTAGATTTTGGTTCCATTTTTTCAGAATCGATATTGTGCGGTTTCGGTTGCGGTTTTTACATGTGGAGGAATTGAAATCGAAGCCTGGAAAAAAGAACATGTAGCGGGTATTTGGCTTGGAACTTGTAGTGGGTACACTATTTTGGATCTTGGGTTGAAATGAAATATTTGTGAAGAATGGGAACCCTCTTGTAATTTTACATATAAAAAAATTAAAATGGAAAAAGGTAAATTTTTACAATAACCTAATTAAATAAATATATAATTATACTTATTTCATATAAATTACACTATATAAAAAACTTTAATTTATTATAATGTATTAATATTAAAGTTTTAATTAATTAAATGTATAGTTAGAATTATGACTAATTAAAAGTATTTTAATGTTATTAGAAGAATTATTTTTAAATAAAGTAGTATATTTGATTGAATAATAATATAATATTTAGTTATTTATTTCAATTATTAAGTTTAAATTAATAATTAATTAATTATATAAAATAAATTGATAAACATTAATATATTATTAGTTAAATGAGTAATTAATTAATTATAACATTATAGTATAGTTAAATAATTACTTAATTAATTATAAGTTTATAACATTACATTAGTAATTTAATTAAATAATTAGAAATTTATTTAATTATAAGGTAGAATCAAAAGGTATTATGAGAAAGAAACGAGGAAACAAAGGAAAGGGAAAGAAATTGGAAGATTGAAAATTACTCTAGGACTTAAAAAGGTAGAGTTGGATGAGCTAATTTCTAGACTTAGGGAATCTGAGTTTAAAGGTGATCTGCTTGAAAGAATTCGTAACGTTTTAAATTATTTCTTTTGAAGGATTCTTTAAGGAAATTTCCAAATTCGAATATAAATAAATTTATCCCACAAAGATAAGGTAAGAGTTTATACTTAGGGGAGTACTTAGAATGGTGGGGATATTGTCTAATGGAAGTTTTCTAAATATCGATTGTGTCATAAATGTTACAGATGCAATTGAGGCATGAGAAACTGTTAACTAGATTCATGTGCAAAATAAAAATTTTAGACTCAATGATACTTATAGATTTCTCAAATCCACACTGCAGGGAGCTGTAGGAAGCTTTTGACGAAATTTAAAAGCTGGTACGAGTCTGTTAGTTATTGTAAGGGACTTGAAGAATGCAGATGCTATTTTTGCACTTTTTAAGGATATGCTCTGTTGAGAATTTACTAGGATAACTATAATCAGT